TGTCAATTTTGATTTCACATGGGCTTTAGTCCCTCTTTGGCCCCCCCCCCCCCATTTTATCAGTCTCCAGGTGCCAATCAGTTGGCTCAGAAAAATAAAAGCATCTAATATAAAAAATATAACCACTAATCCTAAACATCAGCAATAATACTACTGCTTGCTCTACATGCTGCTAGCAGATTTTACTTGTGTGTATTGATAGTTTTTTTTTGATGGCAAGTATTGACAAACAAACTTTAGGACCGGATTAGTTCACATTTTTTAATAACATGGCACAATTTACATAACACAAGCTTAACTGAGGAGCATGCGGTCGCCTCACCCTTTTTTTGTACATGATCTAGAAAGGACTTAATTTTTTACGTACATAAACAGCAAAAAAGTTTCTTACAATCTCTTTGCAATACGTATTGACTACCCACTACTGCTTCAGTGGACATTTTAATGTTTGATATAAAAAAAAAGAAGAGGAAAATTAAAGAAAAAAAAAACACTGCACATCTAAATTACACAGAGTTTAAAAAGCGCACAACTATCCCTCCCATGGACTACTAAAATAGATCTCTGCTCAATAAAAACAAACTGTCCATAGCTTACAACTCACTTTATCATTGTGTAGATACATAACACTTTAATACACAACTAGACCAATAGAGAATTGTCCTGCTTTCTGTCTCGCGACATGATGTGTAATTTTTGATTTAGAGGTAATTAACTTAATTTCGAATATTGGTGTATTTGTAAGGATTGTCAACACAGATCTTTATAGCTTGAAGAACAAAAGCATGTTTCTGGATCAAAAGTTAGGGAACGTGTGTCAGATGTGTGAGAAAAACTCATTGCAGAAAAGCCCCTTCGGAATCATCACAATCTGAGTAATGTGTAAGCATGTACTGTTGCTCCACCAGGAGAAAGAGAGGGTTCAGTAGAGACTGTTTGTCCTCTAGAGGAGAGAAAAATGATACAGATAGAGAGAGCCCACGCAAGAGTTGCATAGTTGAAAGAAGGGATGTGGTCTCTTGGACAATATGATCCTTCCAAAACAATATGCAGCATTAAACTAAAACCAGAGCCTGTGCGCTCGCTCTCCTTTTGATCACTGCCCACTATATACAGCATTTCAAAGTAAAGCTTTCATAACACCCATTTGCATATTTGTACCTTAATTTTTTTTCCCTCAAGGACAGAAACACACCAACTTTACACATATCTACAAGTTCTGCCTTTTTGCAATGTATTGAGGTACCTGTACATTCTAAGATCATCTTTCCATGTTGGAGATCTAGCGCTTGTTCACTTGCTTGAGATCAGTGTACTGTACATGCTTAAGAATACACATCAACGCAGGAGCGAACAGGATAAAAGAGCATGAAAAATCTGTCTTTTGTACAAAAACAAAACTCAACACAAAACAATCAGTAATACACAATATGATACAGCCGCAAGTGCTTGCTTGCTTGCTTTTGAGTTCCATTACAGTCCATCGGGGGTCTCACCGCGCCTCGATGTCTTTGTGTGTGTGTGAGGGAGGTCTGTCTCTAACGTCAGTGCCGAGTGGGGTAGTCCGTCTGGGAGATGTGGAACGTGCTCCCAGGGTTGGGATAAGAGGGGGCGGGGCACTGAGTGATGCGGTGGGAGGGGTTTTGTTGAGGATTCCATTCTGGGCAGCCACGGCAGAGGAGGGGCTAACACGGGGGTAGTGCATGCTGGGAAATCCAGGGGCCATGAGACCTGGGTGAGGGAGGTGTCCATCTAAAGCGGGGTG